GGAGAGAAGGAGGTGTGTGTGTGTTGTGTGTGTGTAGCTGTCCCGGGACTGCCCTGCTCTTGCACTGTAGTTTTGGGGGGAGGGGGGTGCAACACCCCAATGTCCCCCCATCTCTGCCCATGGGCTCAGGGCTTCTGCCCCACGGGGAGCACCGGGGCTCCTGGCATCAGCCCCGCTGCTCCCGGCATCAGCCGCGCTGGGGAGGGAGGGCGCCAGGGATCAGGCTCTGGGTTTTAGCCATGGGGCCTCACAGCCCCCCTGAGAGAGTTCTCGGACCCCCTGTTGAGAACCGCTGATCTACACTACAGAGTTAGGTTGTTGCAAGGCAGCTTATGTCGACCTAACTCTAAGCATCTACACTAAAATGTTGTTCCCGCCGATGTAAGTCGCCCACTATACTGATTTAACTCCACCTGCGCAAGAGGTATAATGTTTAGGTTGACATAGTTAGGGTGACGCAGTACTTTTGTTAAATTTAGTGGCCTCCAGGACGCGTCCCGCAATCCCCACTCTAGTCACAATTTTGAACTCAGCTGCTGGGCGACCAAGTACACATGTACACGTCCCTCCACTTTTAAAGCCCTGTGAATTTTTGAAATTCCAATTCCTGTTCGCTCTGCCTGGAGAGCTTGCTTAGCAACCGGCTCCATGCTGCAAACGCGCTCCTGCCTGAAGTACACAGGATGTGGATTCTCCTGGGTCTGTGGGGAAAAGACACTGTGCAGGCACAGCTTCATTCCAGCTGAAGAAACGTTGATATCTATGAGCTGATTGCTTGGGGCATGGGCTACAAGAGGGTCCCTCAGCAATGCTGTGAGAAAGCCAAGGAACTGCGACAGGCGTACCAGAAGGCAAGGGAGTCTAACAGTTGCACTGGTGCAGAGCCACTTTTACAGAGAGCTGCATGCCATCCTCGGCGGAGACCCTACCACCACCCCAAGGGCCTGGGGGATACTTCAAGGGAGTTGGAGTCACAGGCCCCTGGAGTGAACAGTGAGGAGGAGGAGGAGGAGTATGGGGAACAGGCCATCCGGGGATCCAGTGACGCAGTTGAGCCAGTCCCTACAGTCCAGCATAGGCAAGCCTGATGCAGGGGAAGGAACCTCTGGTAAGTATGCAGTTTGCTTTGATATTGCGGGAACACACCTATTCATTTACTCTTTTTTAATCACGCTATAAGAGATAGCAACTCTACCTCTATTGGTTATTTCACTATCTGCTTCTCATTTCGCTGTACAATTAGGCAGAGGGGGCCCTGCACTTTGTTTATGTGCACTGGGATGTCCCGTGAATCCTACATAGAAATCTCAAAGAAACTTGCTTGGAGGTAGTCTGCAATCCCCTGCTAAAGGTTTCTAGGGAGGGCTGCCTCATTTCTTCCACAGCGGCAGGACACTTTCCAACACCTACTCAGGAATTAATTCAGCAAGCACCATTGCAGCACACAGGCTAGAAGCATAGGGACCCTGGTCTGCAGCCAGACACATGCAGGAACTATTCCCTTTCAGCTTCTGTTACCCTCAGGAGTGAGATATCAGCTGAAATCCTCACTGCCTGTGGAAAATTGTGCAAATGTTCAGTTGCCCAATCTGCATATACTTATACCCCAGAGCTAGCCCCCCACTCTCATTGTCCCAACTCGTCCCCGAGCCGTACTCACCATGGCTGGGACTGCTGTCGTGCTCCATGAATCCCAAGGAGAAGTAAGAATGTAGTGCTTGTAACTTGTGTGGATCAAGGGGAGTAAGTTCAGTATACCAAGTTTCCATTTATCTTGTGAATACAGTCAATGAACAGAGGTACTATTCTATCTTTTGCAGCTTGAAATGTGGCCTTGAAGGGCTCTCCATCCACACCAGCAGAGCATCTCAGCCAGATAAGAAGAAGGAAGAGGACGCGTGATGATGTGTTTCAAGAGATCCTGCAAGCCTCTGTTGCTTTGCCTATCAAGGACAGGGCTTAAGGATCACCCTCGCAGACAGACTGGGCGGGGATAAAGCGGAGAGGAGAAAAGCACAGGAAAAGGAGAGACGTGCAGCAGGAGAAGCTAGCACTTCTCAAGCAGCAAACAGACATGCTGGTGGCTCTTGTTGACCTTCAGGTTCAACAGATCTGTGCTTGCCTCTCTCTGCAGCCCATGGACAACTGCATTCCCACATCTCCCTACACCCTACCCTCCCCAAATTCCACGTGGCATCCGGGGCTGCTGCAGGATCCCTACCACTCCACCCTTGGGGAGAGTACAGACAATCACAGCCGTGCATATGCTGACGTGTGAGAGACACGATTGGTGTATGTGTTTGTGAAATGAAAATGGCTGTTCTTTCCCCTTCAAAGGTTTTTTTCCCTGTATTTATAAAGTTTCATTCAGTTATATGTCTGTATGGGTTTGGAATAAAAGTCTATTTGTTGAAATTTAATTAATCTTTATTCACAACATATGCTGGCTGGGGCTGACAGTCACAAATAATACAACATTGCAAATGCCTCTATTGTTATTACTACATACACAGCACTCATTACAAGGTTCATACTGGGGTGCAAAAAACCAAAGCCAGGCAGAGCACACTACAGCAATGCACATTTTGCACTATTAAAATGGTCTTTCAAAGCCTCCCTGAGCCATATAGCTCCATGTTGAGCTCTTCTTATAGCCCTAATATCTGGCTGCTCAGAATCAGCAGACAGCTTTTCCACCTCCACCCCAGCAGAAACTTTTCCCCTTAGCTTCACAGGTATTAGGAAGCACACAGCAGGCAGCTATAACCATTGGGATATTTTGTTTTTACTGAGGTCTAATCTCATAAGTAGACAGCACCACCAGACTTTCAGACGGCCAAAGGCACATTAAAAAGTCATTCTGCACCTGTGGTGCAGCGCTCCTTGCTGCTGTTGAGGTGGCTGGTGTATGGGCTTCGTGAGCCATGGGAATAATGGGGTAGACTGGGTCTCCTAGGATCAGTATTGGCATTTCAACATCCTCAATGGTAATCTTCTGGTCTGGAAAGCCCTTGCTTGCAGCCTTCTGTAGAGGCCTGTGTTCTTAAGGATGTGTGCATCATGCACCCTCCCTGACCATCCCATGCTGATGTCGATAAAATGCCCCCGGTGATCCACCAGAGCTTGCAATACCATAGAAAAGTAGCCCTTTCTGTTGATGTACTCTGTGGCAAGATGGTCTAGTGCCAAAATAGGGATATGTGTGCCATCTGTTGCCCCACCGCAGTTTAGGAACCCCACTGCTGCAAAACCATCCACTATGTCCTGCACATTGCCCAGATTCATAGTCCTTCGTAGCAGGATGCAATTAATGGCCTTGCACACTTGCAACATAGCAGCCTTCATGGTGGATTTCCCAACTTGAAATTGATTCCCGACTGATTGATAGCAATCTGATGTTGCAAGCTTCCACACAGTGATTACCACGGCTTCTCCACTGTCAGGCTGCTTTCATTTTGGTGTCGCTGTGCCAGAGGACTGGGGTGAGCTCTGCACACACTTCAGGAATGTGGCATTGCACATCCAAAGGTTCTGCAGCCACTGCCCATCATCCCATACCTGCATAACGATTCGATCCCACCAGTCAGTGCTTGTTTCTCGGGCTCAGAACTGATGCTCCTCCATCTGCAGCTGCTCTGTGAATGCCAACAATAACCTTGAATTGTTTCTATGTCTCACAGCAAGCTAGCCTCCAAGGAATTGTCATGTTGCCCGCAGCTCCGTGTGTGGAATCAGGCGCGTTGTACACTCAGTAGTGCAGAGCTGTTCAGGATCCATGCTTTTCACAGCGATGGCTGACATGTGGGTTTGCTTTTGAAAAGAGGCCAAAACATGGGATGCTGATAAAATTGAGATGGAGAAAACAGCATCATGGGATGTTGAAACCTTGTTCCCAGTCACTTCTGTGCGACTTGTTTGCTTCCATGAGGCATTGGAAACCTTTCCCAAAACATCCTGCATTAGATGATGGCGAGTTGCACGGTGTGATAACTACCCACAGTGGACTGCTCTCTGCATCAGTGCAAGCGCTGCTAGTGAGGACACACACTGCTGACACAAGTGTAGTGTGGCCATGCAAAAGCGACTTAATAACTGTGACAGATGTACATTGATGTAACTTCTGTCGACTTAATTTTGTAATGTGGACTTGCCCTTTATTTTGAAACTGATAGCTTAGATTCTGGAGAACAATGTAGTAGGGTTAGCGAGGTGCCATAAGTATGGGCTGTTTGTGAGGTTTGGTATATAGTAATTGTAAGTAGGCATGACACTAAAATATTGGAAGGCCAGTAGCACAAAAACAAGTTAAATCACTTATTACGTATTAACTTGTCTAGCATTTCCTTAGGTTTAGTTGTTTTTCCCCCAAGTAAACAGTCCTCTAGGAAGTAGACTCCAATTGCAAGGTATTGTAAACTAATTTCATTTTTAAAACAACTTTTGTTTCTGTATTAAAGGTACTACAGTCCTTAGGAGCCATCTTACCTATTGCCTGCAAGTTCCCATTTCTTATAGACTGCAGCTGTTGATTAAATGTGGGAAATATTTGATTTCAAAATTAGTGGCAGACTTGAGGAAACAATAATTCAGGCAAAATAGTTGATTACTGTCTCACTTTTGTACCCAGTAGGCAATGATTTAGGCTCCAATCGTGCAACTAGATCCACGCAGGAAAACCTTTGTATCTGTATGGAACCCCCACTGGAGTTGGGGGCTTTGTGCACAGGCAAGGTTTTGCTCTCACAGATCCTTAATTTGTGAATTAAAAACTCCAGGGCACACTGCACTGAGATAAGAGAGCAACCCACTGCTTTTAGTAGCACTTCCTCCTCTTTCTTTTCCTCCCCAACCCAAAAGAGAGAATGAAATGTTAGGTTCTGACATTTGTGCTTCTCATTGCCAGCCAAACCTAAGCTCCCTCTATCTATCAGGATTTTTCACCATTTCATTAAGCCATAGGGTACTGACATCTGGGATCCTCTTTACCTGTACAGATGGACCCTTAGTTCGAGTGCCCTTGAAGATTGAAGACCTTGAGGGTGCCAGTGGCCATTGCTGAGTGAGAAAAAACATCTTTCAAGGGAAGTTCCAAAAAGGTAAGATACTGTTTTAAACGCTGTTCTTGACTCCCTCACCAAAGAAGGGTGGGAAAAATAACTTCTTTGTAGATTATCAGATTCAGTTAAATTGTCACTTGATGCCATTTCTGCCAATCTTGATTAGTTGATTTGTTTGGCAGCATAAGGGCATAATAAATGTGATATACAGTATGTAGAGATATAACCTGAAGTTAAAATTGTCCAAAAGTATTAAAATAAAATGAGATTGAATAAAAAGGTTGACACATTAAATTGTATAACTAGTGATTTCAGATTATTTCAAGCACAAGCCTTCACTTCTATAGATATTCCTGCACCAGCAGATGGATTACATGACCCAATAGGCCTCTTCTATGTCTTACTGCTGATTCCTAGAAATGTTACAGTTTTCTTCCCATGTGCATTGCCAGCAGCTCCTTGAAGATTGGCTATAGTTTTCAGCTTTGTTGCATGTTTCTTGTTCAGTCAACCAGTGTTTCCCAGATTTTTGGAAGCTGAGTCCTTAGTAAGGAAAATGAAGTCAACTGCCTTTAGCCCTATTGTGGTGTAAAATGTGAACAGGTCTATCCAAAATAATTGGTCACTCTCTGTAGATCTTCATAATGTGATATTCCTCAACTTTGTCATGTGTTTTGATCATTTAAATGATTGGGATAGTTCATACCTTAAATCTAATCCACACTGTCTGCAACTTCAGGGAGACACCACTTTATCAGTTATACTTGGATCAAGCTTTCTTCGTAAGCATAATAGCTAAAAGTTCTGGAAAACAATTAAGGCCTATCCATGCCCTCCTTTCCTCCACAGCTGCTACTTTGCATCCTACATTTTGGGAAATGCTGTAGTAAATATTAACAAAATGGATCAGATTTCTTCCTGGTGTAACTCCACTAAAGTCCAGTGAATTACATCAGGCAAGAGTGTGGCCCAGTGTTGTGTGGTGTTTTTTGCAGAAACTTAAATCTTGTCCGTTGATTTTAATTGAGAACAAATTTGCATTTAAATAAATGCATAATTCACTAATTTGATAGGCAAACTGCAAAGTCTTTGCCAGTGTGTTTGCAAAAGTATCTTTTGGAAAAGGAAATAAAACTTGTTCATGGTTTGGTTCCCAAATGCTGGGGAAGTCAGAGGCAAATTGTCTTAATGAAAGGCTTATTGTTAGGACCTTACCAAATTTCATAAATTTCCCGGTCATAGCATTTTAAAAATCTTGAATTTCATGGTTTCAGATATTTAAATCTTAAATTTCATGGTGTTGTAACAAAGCATGAATATGTATTTGAAAACAGCAAAATATAAACTTGTAAAGCTCATGACGAACCCCCTGCTCCTCCCAAAAGAGTGACAACCCCCCACTGGCGCTGGCTTCAGAGCTGGGTGCTCAGCCAGCAGCCACCACTCTCATGTCACCCTTACTTCTGTGCTGCTGCTGGTGGTGCTGTCTTCAGAGCTGGGTGCCCGGCCAGCAGCCGCCGCTCTCTGGCTGCCCAGCTCTGAAGGCAGCACAGAAGTAAGGTTGGCCATACCGCAACCCCCCTACAATAACCTTGTGACTCCCTTCTGGGTCGGGATCCCCAGTTTGAGAAACGCTGTATAGTATAGAGTAAAAAATACACAAAAGATCAGATTGCAAAGGGAGATCAAATTTCACCTTTTCAACCTTTATCCTTTTCAACTTTTACCTTTCAGAATGAAAGATGAATTTTAATTTGTTAGGACTTTGAGGCCATCTGGAAGCATTGTAAAAGGAAAAATTTAGAAGTAGGTGATTTAGTCTCTCAACTTCTTGAGTTTAAAAGAAAATTGGATTAAATACAGTAAAATGCAGTGTACCATCCTCAACAAACTGAATACTTTTGACCTCTTGTTTTTAATTTCCATAGTGAACAGCTAGAAGAAAGTTACTAGAATGAATGAAAATACCCTCTGCCGCTTCCAAAGCCCAGGTAAGTAAGGCTAATTAAATGATATAGCACAGTGGCTCTCAGCCTTTCCAGACTACCGTACCCATTTCAGTGGTCTGATTTGTCTTGCTTACCCCCAAGTTTCACCTCACTTAAAAACTACTTGCTTACAAAATCAAACATGAAAATACAAAAGTGTCACAGCTCACTATTACTGAAAAATTTCTTACTTTCTCATTTTTACCATGTAATTATAAAATAAATCAATTGGAATAGAAATATTGTATTTACATTTCAGTGTATAGTATATAGAGCAGTCTAAACAAGGCATTGTCTGTATGAAATTTTGGTTTGTACTGACATTGTTAGTGCTTTTTATGTAGCCTACTGCAAAACTAGGCAAACATCTAGATGAGTTGATGTACCCCTTGGAAGACCTCTGCATACCCCGCAGGGGTACACACATCCCTGGTTGAGAACCACTGATTCTAACTTACTGTATTTAAATGTTTACAGAACTTGTAGATGCTGCAATTAGAGTGACCAGATAACAAGTGTAAAAAATCGGGACGGGGTGGGGGGTAATAGGTGCCTATATAAGAAAAAGCCTCCAAAATCGAGACTGTCCCTATAAAATTGGGACATCTGGTCACCCTAGCTGCAATACAAAGGCAATTATTTTAATGTAGGATTTCAATTTAAATTCAACAGTATGACTCCAGCATGTTGCTTGGTAATGCAATGGTTTAAAAGAATGGCTGAAATTTCAATAGTAAAATTGTGTGTTGAAAAATGATTCCCTTCAGGGTGAGTTCAGGATGGCATGATATTCTTGATGACTTATTTCCCTAATTTTGATAAAGGCTTCCTGTAATTATGTTTATGCTTAAAACATATTTTGATCGTTTTGCAAATAAATGCTTTTAAAAAATCACTTTGGAAGTGCAACTGCTGGGTTAAACTTAGCTGTGTGTGAGACATATCTATTAAGTTGAGATTTCACTTTTCAGAAAATAGAAGAGTTTAAAATAGCACTGTTTTCTTTATTTGTTGTGACTGTTTACCATTAGCATTAAATGAATATGGTTCCTTTAGATTAATGGAAGTATCAGTAAATTTAAGAAAAACTTTAATTTATTTCTACTGCAGGTCAGAATTAAGATATTTGAAATTAATTTAAGATGTCTGTTTCTAGCTTTGTTAGTTTTTGTTAGTTTTCTGAATTTCTTGGTAACCTTAATAGTTTGTTTTTGTGTTTTTAAATTTGTTAAATGCAAGGTGTTCTTAAATTTGCTAATGGATCTGTTTTGAAACACTATTGTACATTGTATGGGCATTTTAAATATGTGACTTAATGCAGACAATGGAACCCCTTACACTGAATCGTGCACTGCCGAATGATTGCCACACATACATATGAAAAAGCAATGGACTAAAAAGTAGTAACACAGTTCTTCAAGTTACTGCACATGTGGATCCCATTTCTGGTGTCCATGTGCCCCATCACATGTGAAAATGTTTTATATTCTACCATTGCCAATAGGGGTCACATATATGCTCTTTGTGGCCTTGTGTCCCCTTCCCTCAGGGCTTAAAGGGTACAGCAACCACCACGAAGTTCCTTCTTACCATGAGGCAAAGTCAGAATAACATAGTGTCCCTTTGTAGTAATCTTGTTACGTAATAATTTGTTTATACTTAATAGCTAATTTACTTGTTACTGTTTCAAGTAGCATATTCTCAGTAGGTCTTAAAAAAAAAAAAAAAAAGGCAGTCACTTATGGCAGAGCCCAGGCTTCAAGCCATGTCCTCCTGTGGGGAGATTGCAACAGATGCCTTTACTGTCTGGGTGAGGAATCTGTCATGGCTAAGTGTGCAGTTTGCAACTCTTTCAAGAAGTGCGCACACAAAGAGTGGTAGTCCAAACTGAAGCTTTATCTTAGGGAAAGGTCCATGAGAGTTATGTCTGACTCAGCACAGACCTGATACAGAGGAGTCTGTTTTCCCAGCTCATCTCTCCAAGGCCTCTGTCACCAGAAACGTGACACCTAATTCAGGAGCAATTAAAAAAGATTCAGGTCCCTCGGAGCAGTCAGAGACCCTTGCTGTCCAAGGACTGAGTGACTCTGACTCTGTTTCCTGGCACCAAGCCCTCTCTTTGCTGCCGGGAGTGCAGAGTTCTTCAAAGGATCTGTGCTAAGAGTGCAGAAGAGTACTGCCATGCTGCACCACTGCACAGAGCTGATACAGAAACCTTCCTCTACTTCTTCAGTTAAAAGATCTCAAGGGAAGGAGCTCAAAGGGTCATGTGACTTCCTTCTCATTAGCACTGGCTTCAGCAGCACTGGCAGCTTTGATCAAAGTCTGCTGTGCACCAGTGGTTTTAGCTGCAGAGGAAGCTTCAAAGCAGAGAGGCATCTATAGCATCCTCCTTGCAGGGACCTTTTACAACTAAATTTGCAGCTCCAAAAGCTTCTTATGTGTCTTCATTAGACCTTAGGGTCACTCCAGCACCTGAGTCACCAAGCCTGGCGGTTTCTCTGATCTCAATACCGGATGGAGCTCCTCCTCAAAAAGAAACCTAGCGTGCATCTAATTAAAATATCTTTGAACCAACATGTCAATACAATCAAGGATTTAACACCCGCTCAAATCCTTCAGTCTCCTGTCATGGCTTCTGATTCCTCTATAGACTCTAGCAGGAGTCCTCCACCAAAGAGGAAGTCAGACGGACGGAAACAAAAAGTTTAGGGAGGCATATGAACAAGAGCCTCCTAATTAACCTAAAGATGCCTGTTAGTTTGACCTCAATTGTATGCAAGGTCTTGGAACAAATTTTGAAAGAGAAAATAATTAAGGACATAGAGGCAAACGGTAATTGGAATAAAATACAACATGGTTTTACAAAAGGTAGATCGTGCCAGATCTTTGAGAAGATAACTGATTATTATTATTGTTTTAGACAAAGGAAATGCAGTACATCTAATCTACCTGGATTTCAATAAGGCTATGATACAGTTCCGCATGGGAAATTATTAGTTAAATTGTAAAAGATGGGGATTAATATGAGAATTGAAAGGTGGATAAGAAACTTGTTAAGGGGAGACTACAATGGGTCATACTGAGAGGTGAACTGTCAGGCTGGAGGGAGGTTACTAGTGGAGTTTCTCTGGCCTCAAGACCATCCCTATCTTATTTAACATTTTTAATAATGACTGTGGCACAAAAAGTTGGAGTGCGCTAATAAAATTTGTGGATGACACAAAGTTGGGAGGTATTGCCAATACAGAGGAGGACCGGAATATCGTGCAAGAAGATCTGGAGGTCCTTGAAAACTGAGTAATAGAAGTGGGATGAATTTAATAGTGCAAAGTGCAAGGTCACGCACTTAAGGACTAACAACAAGAATTTTTGCTACAAGCTAGGGACTTACAGTTGGAACTGACAGAGGAGGAGAAATACCTGGGTGTTTTGGTTGATCACAGAATTACTATGAGCCGCTAATATGATGCAGCTGTGAGAGAGGCTAATGCAGTCCTAGTTGCATCAGATGAGGTATTTCCAGCAAAGACAGGGAAGTGTTAGTACCATTATATAAGGCACTGGGCGAGACCGCATATGGAATACTGTGTGCAATTCTGTTGTCCCATGTTTAAGAAAGATGAATTCAGACTGGAACAGGTGCAGAGAAGGGCTACTAAGATGATCTGAGCAATGGAAAACCTACCTTATGAGAGGAGACTCAAAGAGCTCGGTTTGTTTAGCCTAACCAAAAGAAGGCTGACAGGAGATATGACTGCTTTCTCTGAATATATCAGAGGGATAAATACCAGGGAGGGAGAGGAGTTATTTAAGTTAAGCGCCAATGTGGACACAAGGACAAATGGATATAAACTGGCCATCAACAATTTTAGGCTTGAAATTAGGTGAAGGTTTCTAACCATTAGAGGAGTGGAGTTCTAAAACTGCCTTCCAAGGGGAGCAGAGTGGGCAAAAAACCTAACTGCCTTCAAGACTGAACTTGATAAGTTTATGGAGAGGATGGTATGATGGGACTCCCTACAAGCATGTAGCCATTCTGCAGCTACTAGCAGCAAATATCTCCAATGGCTGTTCATGGGACACTAGATGGGGAGGGCTGAGTTACTACAGAGAATTCTTTCCCAGGTGTCTGGCTGGTGGGTCTTGACCATATGCTCAGGGTCCAACTGATCACTATATTTGGGGGCAGGAAGGAATTTTCCCCCAGGTCAGATTGCCAGAGACCCTGGGGGGCAGCGGGGTTTGCCTTCCTCTGCAGCATGGGGCACAGGTCACTTGCAGGTTTAAACTCTTTGTAACTTGAAGTCTTTAAATCATGATTTGAGGACTTGAGTAACTCAGCCAGACATAGTGGGTCTATTACAGGAGTGGGTGGGTAAGGTTTTGTAGCCTGCAATGTACAGGAGGTCTGACCAAGTTATCATGATGTTCCCTTCTGACCTTGAAGTCTATGATTCTATGAGATGCTAATTCTCACTATGCCCCTTGGTTTCCTCCAAAAGGGACACAATATCCCTTTCCCAGATGGCCATATTGGTTCTCATGGCCTCGATATCGTCCATTTCAGGAACAATATTCCCACAGTAGACAGGATCTAATTGTGAATCACCTGCTGCAAACTCTTATAAGTCTGATCACTCTCTTCGAGTTCAAGATACAGAGGAATAACAAATTTTAAGTGATGGTGAAATACCAGCCCATCAGGACAATCCGTCTGATGCTATACTTGGTGGTTCTTCCTTACCTGATGGAACCATGTCACAGGCTACACCTCTTTCAGCTGATGATTTTAAAACTTTTCAGGAATTATTGAAGCATATGGCAAAAACACTAGAAGTTCCTTTGGAGACAGTTCAGGAAAAAGCATATATAAACCCTTTGATATTCTACAGCCAGCATCCCAGAGCAGGGTTGCGTTACCTATTAATGAAGGAATATTGGATCTGGCAGAAGATCTCTGGGCTCCATTTCCCAGTTCTGTTCCAATAATAGATTACCTCTTAGATAGTCCCAGGTGCTTTAAATATATCTCTTCAGTCAAAGTCTATTTGGCAGTGATATCCGCATTTCATCCTCCAGAAGAGGGAGGTGCAACTTCATCAATCAGTGAATAGATTTATGAAATTTTCCCCCCACATTTTCCTCCTGTGAGAAAGATTGCTCCAGCATGGAACTTCAAATTTAATGCTTTCTTCACTTGTGGCCCACTTGCACTTGACCTCCTTGAACCTCTATCAAATTGTCCAATTCATCTACAGACAGTGAAGTAGCATTCCTGGTGGGAATTACATCAGCATGTAGAATAAGCAAATTACAATCCCTAACGATAAATCCTCTATACAGTTTTTTACATGAATAGAGTAACTATGAGACCACATCCATCTTTTATTCCTAAAGTACTCAAATTTTCATATCAATCGATGCAGTCGTTTTCCAGCTTTTTTTCCAAAACCTCATTCTTCACCTGCAAAATTACATACATTAGATGTGAGGTCACCATTATATTACCTAGGTAGCACTAGATCTTTTGGTAAAATGCCAAGACTTTTTTCTTTGTTTATGATAATAAATCAAAAGGGATGGCTAGAATGGGTATAGATTATATTAGAACTGCTTATAATATTAATAAGAGTCCTCCATCAAACATGCAAACTCACTCCACCAGAGTGCAAAGAGCCTCAATAGCATGCTGAAGTTGGGTTCCAAAATCAGAAATATGTAGAGCAATTACCTGGTCTTCAGCTCATATGCTTACAAAACATTATTAAGTCACAGTTTCAAGATCTGATGCCCATTTTGGAAGAGGTATTTTGCAGTCTCTTTACAGATAACTTCTAGCTTCCACCTCCTTAAAGAACAGTTACTTATGTAGTAACTGGGGTTCTTTGAGATGTTCTTCACATGTAGATCCCATGACCCGCCCTCCATACCGGCAGCTCAAAGTCTTACAAATGAGGATTCTGGATGATGAAGGAACTGAGTGGCAGTTGGGGTTGCTGTGCCCATTATGCCCTCAGGGCATGTGTGACCCCTATTGGACACTGCTAGTGAAAATGTTCTGAACTCCTTTGCTGGGGCACATGGACACCATAAGTGGGATCTACATGTGCAGAACATCTCCAAGAACCACAGTTACTAACAGGTAAGTAATGATTCTTTCCATTGAGCTTATTATGTTATTGAGATCATCAATATCATTATATTTCTACAAAAAAAGTTGGGTACAATGTGTTTATATTCAGATATCAATTGCTCTACACATTTATAATGTACAACTCACCATAGTGTTTAGGCACTCAATTGACACAATATTAAAGATACCACCTTAGGTGGCCTTTAAAACAGGGCATTTCAATTGGTGGCGTGTGGCTTGCTGGTAGGTTCCAAGATGCGCCTGCTGGGTGAGCAAAATCCCTTGTTCACTAGGATCCAGCAGGAGCCAGGGAAGGAGCAACTTGCAATCTCTCTTCTCTTGCTCTTTCTGCTCTGCACTTCAAAGCCTACCCATGAAAAAAGAAGGAAGGCTAGGGGAGCACCTACAAAAAGTGGAGAGAAACAACAGCCACTTAAAGTAAGTGGAGTGTGGTAAACAAACACAACATTGAATTCCATCTGGTGAATACCAGATGGGTGATACTGGCTTTACTACACTTATCCAGTAGCCTAGTTCATATTTAATTTATTTAAGGGTTAGAACCAGCATTTTCTGTTAATAGACCATTTCCATTAAGTGTTTCTAAACAGTGTTTCAATATTTTTAGCCTGTGTCCTCTGTCAACGAACTGATGACTGTCCTGAAAAATATGGAGAAAAGAGAACTTACAAGGAATACAATCTCACTGTTCATTACTACTGCTTGGTAAGTATTTCATATTGATCCTGAACTGAATTCTAGGAACTTACCAATTTTTTCTGATGAGAATTGGTAAACTAAACAGCAGTGAACCTGCAACTCTTTGTCTGCAAAATTCCAAGATCTCTCTTCTAATTTCCAAATTATTTTCTTTTGGGGAGATTTATTGAGCCTTTTCAATTATTTTAAAGATACAGCAGCAGAAAGAAAACACACCATAATAGGTTGTTACTCACTGTTGAATAGTCACATTTGCAATTAGCACATTCCCAAATCATAAAAACTTGATGGCGTTTTCAAAAATTGGTGGTAATGGATCCATGTTATCCCATCTAATTCTTCATTTAAATTAAGATTTAGTTTCATAATTTTAGGATCTAAGAACTCAAGCCTTCATTAAAATATTTCCCCTACCCCTTTCAGTATAATTCTGTTTTTAGCAGCATACATGTAATTCGTTGTTTGCTATGTGTTGTTCCTCACTTTGCATTATCTGGCTTCATTATAGCGCTAGCAGCAGTTTTCAAACTGTGGGTCGGGACCCCATTGTAATGGAGTCGCCAGGGCTGGCATTAGCTGATAGAAGGGGTTGGGTTTTGAACTTTGAACCAAGATATCCTGTTTCTAAAATAAATGTAATAGTCATTGAAGTTAAATAATGTTAAACAAAACCAAAATTTTAAACAGTCCCCCTAAAATTCCTTTTGCTCTTTCTTATGGTATTATTGTTTTACTAGTTCTTTAATTGTCATCAGTTTTCCTGGGCAGACAAGACCTGAAGATCCAACGTAAAAATCTGGGGGGGGAATAAACTACTAAATGTACACACACTTGTGTGCGTGCACATGGTTGCAGGCTGCTATTACAGTTTATGAAGATGGAAAAAGGTGCAAGCCCATAGTTTTTCTTTGTAGATTACTTTTAAGGTATTGGGATAGATTCTGGCTCTCACCAACGCCCCTATACGCTGCTTTGGCCGTGTAAGGAGGCCACAGTAGACTATGGGAGAATTTCCTGATGCAGAATCAGCATAGGGCTGATGTAAGAGTCCCTATGCAGTCCTCCTTCGCAGATCCCTGTGTGGAGAGTGGGAAGGGACATGGTTGTAGCACTAAGTGCTTCAGAGATTCTGGGCTGCAAAGCAAGTTGGGTAAGGCTACTGTAAGTTAGAGCTTCTTTACTGCAGGCCATTGGCCATTCACCTTCTTGCTCTGGGGAGCACCTTCAGTTCTGTGTGCCTTTGAAGAAACAACATAAAACATAGCTTATCGTTGCTGCATAGTGAATTATCCACATGAGTCGTGTTAGTGTAGTGGTGGGCAACCTGAGGGCTGCATGGGGTCCATCAGGGTAATCTGATTGCAAGCCGCAAGACGTTTTGCTGATGTTGACCGTCCGCAGGCACAGCCCCCTGCAGCTCCTAGTGGCCGCGATTTGCAAGGACATGCTGGCCGCCGCTTCCCGCAGCTTCCATTGGCCAGGAACAGCGAACCGTGGCCACTGGGAGCTGCGGGGGGCCGTGACTGCAGATGGTCAACGTCCGCAAAATGTCTCATGGCCCAGAAGCAGGTTGCCCACCACTGTGTTAGTGTCTTTAAACCAATTATGGTTTTTACTTAAGTCCTGTGGATGCAGTAAGAGCTATAGGCTTCTTAAGAAACAAAAAGGACACAAGGTGCAATTATTTCCTTGATATTTTTTTCTATTATGACAGTTTCAGATATTTCATTAAAATCTGTCTTTATGATTCTTACAGGTAACTATCACATTTGTGTTCCTGTTGTTTTTTTCTCAACATATATCATTGTACACTACTGTGTTCTCATTTCCCACTTGTCGAACAAGAGTTCCAAGTTATTCTGATGAATTTTTGCTGTTTATTTTATTATGCAGACAATACTCTTCTAATTTCTTTAATGAGCTTCCAGTTTGGTAATGTATTTCAGCAAGGCTTTTTACACAAATAAAATATCTTGAATACTTAGCTTGTCTACTCAATATGTAGCAGTATCAAAGGGCCATCAGATTATTTTGGCATGATCTGTTTCTAAAATCCTTGTTGGCTTTACTCAGTAGATTCACCTATTCCTTGTGCTTTCAAATAAATTATAGTCTGTGTTTTTATTAAGAACTGATAGAAATGTAGGCCCTACACTGTAGTAGGACGAAGTAAACCTAGACCACCATCCCAGACAGGCATTTGCCCAACTTGTTCTTAAACAGCTCCAATGGTGGGGAGTCCACAAACTCCCTTCATATTCCAGTACTTAATTATATTTATAGTTAGATAGTAGGAAAAACTTTCTAACCTAAATCTCCCTTGCTGCAGCTTAAGCCCATTGCTTGTCCTACCTTCAGAAGACATGGAGAACAATTGATCACTGTCCTCTTTATAATAGCCCTTAACATATTTGAAGACTATCAGGTTCTCCCCAAAATCTTCTCTCAAGACTAAACTTGTCAAGTTTGTTTAACCTTTCCTGATGGTAAAAGGTTTGGAAAACCTGACCAATTTTTGTTGCTCTCCTCTGGACTTTCTCCAATTTGTCCACATCTTTCTTAAAGTGTGGCGCCCAAAACTGGGCACAGTACGCCAGCTGAGGTCTCACCAGTGCCGAATAGAGCAGAACAATTTCCTCCTGTGTCTTACATATAACTCTCTTGTTAATACACTTCAGAATATTAGCCTTTTTGACAACTGCGTCATTATTGACTCATTCATTTTGTGATCCACTGTAATCCCTGAATCCTTTTCAGCAGTACTACCATGTAGCCAGTTACTCCCCACTTTGTAGTTGTGCAATTGATTTTTTTTTTTTAATTTCTAAGGGTAGTACTTTGCACTTGTCTCTATTGAATTTCATCTTGTTGATTTCAGACCAATTCTTCAATTGGTCAAGGTCATTTTGAATTCAGACCCCTGTGGGACGCCATTAGATATACCTTCCCAGTTTGACAGCGAATCACTGATAACTATCCTTTGAGTATGGTCTATCAGTCAGTTGTGCATTCACCTAACAGAATTTTAATCCAGACCACATTTCCCCAATTTGCTTATTTGTCATGTGACACTGTGTAAAAAACTTTAATAAAATCATATATATATCACATCTACTGCTTCCCCCTATCCACTAGGCCAATAACACTCTCAAAGAAGGAAATTAGGTTTGTTTGGCATGCTCTGTTCTTGACAAATCCATGCTGGCTATTCATTTTAACCCTATTATCCTCTAGGTGCTTACCTATTGATTGTTTAATAATTTGTTCCAATATCTTTCCAGGTATCGAAGTTAGGCTGTGATTGGTCTAGAATTCCCCAGGTTCTCTTTGTTCACATTTTTAAAGATTGGTACTATGATTGCTTTTCTCAAGTCCTCTGGGACCTCACCCATCCTCCATGAGTTCTCCAAGATAATTGCTAATGGTTCCAAGATTGTTTCAGCTAGTTCCTTAAGTACCTAGGGTGCATTTCATCATGGCCAGCCAACTTGGCTACATCTAACTTCTCTAAATATTCTTTAACCTTTTCTTTTCCTATTCTGGCTTGTGTTCCTTCCTCCTTGTTGTTAATATTAATTGGCTTAAGTATCTGGTCACCATTAACCTTTTTAGTGAAGACTGATGCAAAATGGGCATTAAACACCTCCGCCTTCTTGATGTCATCTGTTCTTAGCAGGGAAGGAGAGCTAACTATGAACCTACACTACTTCTTTGAGTAGTGTCCCTATGTGTGCTCCACTTAAGTGTGTCTGCATCCCTGTGCCTAGGATCAGAGATTTTTGGTAGCAGTGCCTGTTTGGGCCGCACATGTGCTCTCCCCGTCATGCTCCACATTCGGGGGCTATAAAGCGCTGTGTGGCCAAACTGCCTTCAATTCCTTCTCAACCACCCTTGGCCTGAGACGGAGTCCCTAACAGAGCTTTTTCGTAGTGAGTTTCTTAGTGCTTTTTGTTCTGGTACCAGAACCTCCTCCCCTGGACAGTGGTTTCCATCAGCATCAACATCAGCTGCTCCACACTCCCCACTGGCTATGAAGAGGAAATCAACAGATTCCTCACAAAAAGTTGCCAAGAAGCGGGCTTCAACTTCGCTTATCAAAGAGCCAGCTAAAAGACAAAGATCTCTGGTGAGATTGGTGGCTTCGTCACCAACTGGCCTAAGGATATGCCAGGATCCTAGGTCCTCTGGTACCATTGCCACTGGTAAGTCCAAGGACCCCAATAGGGCAGGACTGGACAAAAGGGCACTGTCAAGCGATAGTGGCAAGGAAAAATCCAGATCCTCAAAGATGGTACCTACTGAACCACTTAGACTCGCGGTACCAAGCACATCGGCACTGATAAGACTTACGGCGCCACCTGCTGGACACTCAGTGGAGCACAGAACAACCTCAGCACTGACAACCTCTTCCACTGCAGCGGCACCGATGCAAATGCCTTCCACAGTACTGATGATGGTGGTGCCAGTACTGCAGGAATTTAGACTTCCAAAAGACCACACTGGTTTTTGATACACCTGAATCTATACTTTTGCTTACCAATACCACCACAGTATGCACCTCATCCCCAGAGGTGCATACCATATCTATCCGTCACCCTCCAGGACTGCACCTTCCTTCTCTAGTGATGATGATGATGAGGAAGAGATTTATTCTCTTGCACCATATAGCCCCCCATCACATCAGGGAGCTGCATAAATCAACCCTTATGCTCTGGCAAGATACCATGAAGCCAGAGGTGACCCAAAAGCTTGGTATTGACACCCATGGATTCTCCCACCCATGCCTTTTCCCCCCCACAATGTCCTTATTGGGACCCAGGGGCTGCATACCGGCAACAATTTTCAAGACCCTCCAGAGAGAGAATGAGACACTCCCCATCATCCTCAATAGCTAGGCCACATGAGCCTGAAGGAGAGCCTTTAAAGGAACAGGAAGAGAGACTGGATAAGGAAACCACACCTGCAAGCAATATCTCTTTGTCTTCATGTGATGAAGCAGTCATGCCTCCCCCACCAATGGCAGCAGATGATAACAGGAAATTCCAGGAACTGTTCAGGAGGATAGCAGATTCTCTTAAAGTTCCATTAGAGGAAGTGAGAGAATCACAACATTGATATCTTGCAAACTTCAACGTCAGCAAAAATCGCTCTTCCTATCAATGAGGCACTATTAGACCCAGCTAAAACTATCTGGCAGACTCCGGCCACAATACCCTCCTCCTGAAAGAGGGCAGACAAGAAGTATTATGTACCCTTGAAGGACATGGACTTTTTATGTTCGCACCCTACACCAAATTCATTAGTTGTCAACGCTGTGAACAAATGTAGAAGACAGCACCACACTAAGATGACACCATATGACAAAGATTGGAAGAGATTAGATCTATTTGAACGCAAAGCATATTCATCAACAACTCTGCAATTTAGAATTGCCAACTATGAAGTGCTTATGTCAAAGTATAATCATACAAATTACTCCAAATTGAGTGAATTTATTGAGTATATTCTGGAAGACAAAAAGAAACAACTTCAAGTAATCATGGTGGAGGGTCAGCTACTGGCGCGGACTGCATTACAAGCTTCCTTAGATGCAGCTGACACAGCTGTTCTTTTGATAGCAACAGCAGTGGTCATGCAAAGGGCATCGTGGCTCCATCTTTCCAGATTCCTGAAAGAGGTGCAGGCCACAGTGGAGGATCTCTCATTTGAAGAGTACGAATTATTTGCCGATGAATCCCTCCAATCCCTAAAAGATTCGAGAGCAACATTAAGATCATTAGGTACTTATACACCGATACAAAAGAGAAGACCCTGTAGATACCACGCTATAGAAAGATCTTTCATTTGTCCACATGAGCTACTTACCTACCAGCACTGTAAAACATGACAGCTGGACACACCCAGCAGGAAATTCTCACAAGAATATGAGTGGGAGCTAGATACCATGGTCCTACACAAGCATAGATCTTTCTGCCACGGCCAGGAACAGCAAGTGCCCACAATTCTGCTCAAGAGCAGGACTGGATCATCAATTTCTGGGGGATGCCTTTCTTTCTTCTATATGCCTTTCCTCTTTCCCATTAATACCGAAAGTAATACACAAAATAAAAGAAGAAAAGGCCATGATCATTTTGATAGTCCCAACTTGGGCCCAGACAGACATGGTTCCCTTACCTTTTATGAATGACGGTGTGCCCACCAATCACTCTTCATCCCTTTCCACACTTCCTGTGTCAGGATGCAGGCCAGATTTGCCACCCAAATTTAGAAGTTCTCTATGTGAAAGCATGGCTCCTTGATGGTTCCAAGATGGCGAATTATTTGTTCTGAAGCTGTGAAAAAGATGCTGTTAAATAGCAGAAAACCCACCATACGTTATACTTACCTTCAGAAATGAAAGAGATTCTGAATCTGGTGTGCCAATATACACATCACAGCTATATTTTGTCCCTTGCTGTTGGACTATATCCTAGGACTAAAAATATCAAGGCTATCATCAAGTTCACGGAGGGAACATCTCGTGGCAATTTTGGCCTTAAGATCAACAGGAGTTCACGCATCAAGCAACAAAAAGTTTTCTGAGAGATATTTGGAAGCTCTACCCGTAAATTTGAGATGCTACACCACCTTGGGACCTTAACTTAGATCTGAGATGCCTCACTGGTCCCCCATTTGAGCCCATGGTGACTTGCTCACTCGTACATCTCTCTATGAAGACTGCCTTTCTCATGGCCATCACATCCGCCCAAAGAGTGATGGAAATAGGAGCTCTCATGGCATACCTCCCCACATTACAGTTTTCTTCAAAGATAAAGTTACTTTGAGACCACACCCAAAGTTTGTACCTAAAATACCTTCATCCTTCCACTTGAATCAGCCTATTCATCTTCCATCGTTCTTCCCCAAACTGCACAGGAATAAAAGGAAGGCAATGTTCCACACACTAGACATTAGGAGCCTACTATCTAGAAAGGACCAAACCTTTTAGAAAATCACCTAGACTATTCCTTTCAATTGTGCTCATCCATATCTAAACAAAGACTCTCAAAGGTTCCCATGACCCTACTATAATTTTCCATTCCCTGCCCCTCCTCTTCCCCCAACCCCACCCCCCAATATGTAGCCCTCTATTAAGGCCACGTTTTTAATATACCTACCTGAGGGCTTTAGTCACCTGCATTCTTTGAACCTAGTTTAAAGCCCTCCTCGTTAGCTTGGTGAGTCGGTGTGTGAAAATGCTCTTCTTGTTTAGGTGGAAGTTAGACTAGTCAATTGCTAAAGATCTTTTTTTTTAAGTGACTAGGATAAGATTGCTTTTTTCATTCTGGGCACATTCACGTGTTCTAAAACTTTCCTACATTAGGGTTGCTTGTTCTGCAAGGTCCTCAGCCACTGTCTCCTGGACCCTAGAATATATTTAGTTTGGTCCTAGGAATTAGTCAAATAGATTCCTGCAGTTCCTTAGCAGCAGTATGCTGGGAGGAATGGGGGAAAGACTATTATGCCTCTGCAATGAAAGAATATCACTGTCTTAAACATTTTGTTAAATCAATCTACTAGGGTTTTCTGTATTGATACCAATAGATGCTTATAGTCCAGTCCTAGATATTAAAGTTGATTAAAAATAGTTTAGTGTCTTGGAATTTCTTACTAATTTTAACTTTATTTATAGTTGATGTCAAGTGGAATTTGGCAGAGGGGTGAAGAAGATGAAGGAGTTTATGGGTTTTTAATCAAAGACATTAGGAAAGAAGTAAACAGAGCTGCAAAACTGGTAAGAATCAAGCTCCAGTATTATCACTGTTAATATTTGTTTCATCATTTTTGCACTTTAAACTCAATAACAAATCTGGTCTGTAATGAATCTTTAGATTTTTTTTTTTTAATTAAAGAATGATTTTTCTTTACAAATTTGAAATAGTGACCATTGCATTTTTCAGTACTTACTGTACTATGTGTCATATTTAATTCATTTTATGGGCAAGTATATCCTACTTTCAAGTGTCTGAATTCTTATTTTTAAATGATTGTGTATATTGGCAAGTGTGTGTGTGTGTGTGTGTGTATGTGTGTGTATAAATAATATATAATATACACACACATATATAGACAATGGAACTTGGCTGATATTTGTTACAGAAGAGACAGTGATTGAGACCCAATGAGGAAAATTTCATTTTCAGCTCTCCAACAGATTGGGTGTAAACTTAACCAGAGTCTTTGGGACAAAACACAAAGGACTGATAAAACAGATAGTGGGATAGATCCTTACATTTCCAGGATGAAACAAAAACATTAACATTTTTGACAAGTCTAACTCGAATAGCTGAGCAGGAACCAGTTAAGAGAGCAGGTTGTCTAAAATATCCAGATTGCCTCTATGGCATCTGTTGAGCCCCAAACTGTTTGTATATTTTTGTTGATAGAATTATCATATTTTAACAATGGATTCACCAACCTTAGATACCATGATTAAAATACAGAATGCCAACTGATTTGTCAGAGTTTATTTAAGTCTTTGAAAAGTACATAACAACAGTAAATTAGTAATGCTACAATTCTAGCTAGAATATCCTCTGGAACAGTTCAGTATAGCATCATTTCCTTTTCTATACTCCTTATGTCAGATTTCTTTTGTTAATGTTATAATTCCAGCAATTTTAATTGGACTTAAGTTTTAATAGGCTTTCATTTCTAAAACTTTCTCTTAGAAATGTAATATCTGTAAGAAAAAAGGTGCTTCGATTGGATGTGTAGCACCCAAATGCAAACGAAGCTATCATTTCCCTTGTGGGGTTCAAAGGGAATGCATTTTCCAATTCATGGAACAGTTTGGGTAAGTGTTTTATTGTCAGGTATAATTACACTCCTTACAGAATGAGAGGTGCTCTTTTTTGAAATACACTTGCTCTTCTTTTTCCTACAAGAAGAGGGTGTGGGCATTATAAATGGCCTCCTAATTATCTATTTAAGAGAAGAAAGAAACCTACCATTTTTCTTACAATTTAGAGAATCATATTTTGAGGTGCATCGTCTTCTGGTTAAATTTTCCTCACTTTTTCCACTTGGGCCAGAGAGGATGAAATGCTCCTGTCTGAACCAAGAAGCAGGGAATGAATCATCTGATAGCCATGCCTTTTCTGCAGGATACATATGATACTTGTGAAATAGTTTTTCAGTATTTTTAGGATGCAACTAAATGTTAACTCTTAATGTTAGCACACATTTTAATGTTCTACATAAAATTGTGAAGTTGGACGTCAGCTTAAGTATCAGTTTTAAACTCTGAAAAGTAATTATAATAATGATTCCATTTTTGTTGTTTGACTCCAGATCAAATTTGCTCAATTTACAAATGAAAAATATTCTTTTTCTAACTGCTAGTCCTTCAAATTCAGCCTGGGACCTGAAAGTCAAGCTGAATTATCCTTCAATGCATCATCACAAAAAACAACAACAACCCAACAACAAAAAGCTCCCACCGCTTGTTTGCACCGGAACTACATCTACTGTTCAGTTGTATCCAGGCTCCTGCTGATAGTGTGTGAGCATAAAAAGAACACAGTTGATTCTTCATATCCCAGGTTGAGTTTGCAGGGCTGGCAACTGGGGGATGAAGAATAATTTAACTTGTAAACTGAATACATTTTATATGGAACCAATGAGCTATAATAAATATAAATCCAAAGTTTATTTTTAGAGTAGAACCTCACTTTAAATTACTTATATTTTCTCAATCTAACACATGCTTTTTCAAACTCTCAATTAAATCTTAGTTTCTTTGGCTGTTGTGTGGGCTTTGTGGAATTATTCAGAGATTTTAAAAATTAAAATCTGATAATAAAAAAGTAATGTATTGTTATTTTAATTAGGTGACTTTTTTTTTTTTAATGACCATTAATTCTTTTTTGGACCAATACAAAACCTTTGGCGTTTTTAGTAATCTTTTTGAACAACTGATCGGGAATCAGAGAATCCATTTTCTTGCTATTTTATATTAATTTGTTTGTGAATCTTTTTGCATATTGAATATATGCTTTTTTAACCTGTTCTAAAATGATTTATTTCTAAACTACATGTGTGAAAAATTAATACTATTGAAGTCTGCAGTTATGATACAGGATATAATGTTACTGTCTTTAGTATTAATAACAATAGCTTGATTGTTTTTGAAGTTTAGTGTCATTAAGCAGAGCTTTAATTTTCTATTTAAGGTCATATTGTTGGGAGCACCGGCCGGTTCAGAAACTTCCATCTGATGAATCTAGAGGCTCTTCACAGTGTACAATATGCTTGGAATTTGTTGAGCACTTTCCAATGTACAATATACTGAAAAGTCCTTGCTGTAAAAATGCTTGGTTTCATAGAGACTGCTTGCAGGTAAGACAACCTTTTATTCTGTGATGCTCACAACATTTTGTTTTCTACTTAGAATAATAGAACAAATTAACGTTTACATTCTTATTTTAATATTCAATAAATGTAATAAAGCAACATCAAAAATATAAGACTATAACTAACTTTTTCATCCAGGGAGTCTGTTGATTACAGGCCTGGGAAAAAACTAACTAGTTTGTCCATGTTATCAGACCACTAAAATAGAACAGCAACTTTAAAATACAATCTTAGGAACTGCAAGATTGGGAAGATTCCTTTTTAAAGATGTTCTTTGAGATCGTCACACTTCAGCTTGTCTTCAGGAAGGTTCTATTTATAGCCCATATCATAAAAGGATGATGTGGCCTTAGTTACTTCTGTTCCTTCATTTTCATGGCTAGACATGGGTGTAGGAATCTCTTCAGATGCAGAGTGAATGGTGGTGGGGGAGGGGAGAGAAGAGGTCATTGAAAGGAAAGCTCATGCTTTCCTCCTGGAGATGATCTTACAAGCCCAGCCCCTGGATCAGACATTTCCCTTGTGAAAAGATAGAAAGGCACCTTTAGCTTCAAAGTGGGATAAATTTAAGATGATCCTTGCACTGAAGAAGTCAGTGCCAGAACAGAATCCATAAATGTAACGCCCAATCTTCAGGGTACCATGACCTTATTGAGTACAAAAGGATGGAAACAGAGTAAATGTGAACAGTTCAATTAATTTTCTTTTCTGTTTTCTGATGCAGTATCAAGCTCTGAGTGCTGGGGTATTTTTCTTTAGGTGCACAGTGTGCAATAATAAAGACAAATTTCAGAATGAAATGTTGAGAATGGGAATACACATTCCAGAAAAGTAAGTAACTAGCAATAATTTCACAAATAATCCATATTGTATATACAACTCTAACTAAGTAGGATAACAAAGCCAAAACCATGTACTTATTTATGCAGTATAATTAAAATTTGAATGATCATTGGGATTTCCTGGGTTTCTACTGGCAATGAGAGCAGTTTATCTTTATCTTGGGTGCAATTTGCTTCTTTTCAGATCACTCCTTAGATTTGCAGAGTACTAAATTAAGAGAGGCTGCAAATGTAGTGTAGGACAGAGATATATTACTACTAATCTAAATTTTAGAGATACACCTCTACCCCGATATAACGTGACCCGATATAACATGAATTCAGATATGACGCAGTAAAGCAGCGCTCCGGGGGTGCAGGGCTGCGCACTCCGGTGGATCAAAGCAAGTTCGATATAACGCGGTTTCACCTATAACGGTAAGATTTTTTGGCTCCCGAGGACAGCGTTATATCGAGGTAGAGGTGTAATGTTCAATATAGATAAATGCAAGGTGTTATTAGAATTTTTAAAAATTCTAGTATTTTTAAATATGGGCAGTTCATTTTTAAATATGGCCAGAATATTTTTTAAAATATGGGCAGTTCAATTTAATATGGGAAAGCAGGTGCATTTCCCAGCGACTGCTCTCTCATCCTCTCCACACTGTATTTTCTTCACTTTCTTGGTCCAGCCAACCTGTGCTATCACTCCCTTTGTACAGTAGAACCTCAGAGGTCTGAACACCAGAGTTACGAACTGACCAGTCAACCATACACCACATTTGGAACTGGAAGTACACAATCAGGCAGCAGCCGAGATTAAAAAAAAAAAAACCCAAACAAACCAAATACAGTACAGTACTGTGTTAAACATGAACTAC